TTGTGGTGGGTTCTTTTGTTGGCGGTGATATTTCAGATAGTTGTTGCGCTTCCGGTATTGTGGAGGGTTCTTTCGATGGCGGTGATACTGCAGAAGATGGTTGCTGTGCTTTTGGTATTGTGATAAGTTCTCTTGATGAAGGTGATATTGCAGGTGATTGCGGCTCTTTTGATTCCGATATTACGGATGATGGCTGCGTTTTTGGTATTTTAATAGGTTCTTTTATTGACTTTTTAATTTTTGGCGTTGTGGTTGTTTCTTTAGATGACGTAGATAGTAAAGTGGGTAATACAACTGTTTGCATTGAAACACTTTTACTTGGTACTAATTTCTTGCTTAGATCTGAATCGGATTCTACCTCTGATTTCTTCAATTGAGTCTTTAATTCGGTTTTTGATAATATTAATTGTTTCATGGACTTTTGCTCTTCAGATTTTTCTTCTCTTAATTTTACCTTTTTCCAACGATCCTTTATAGTTTCTTCCATTAGAGGATGTGGGGAAGACTCCGTTGTGGGTAAAATTTTAGAGCCTGAATTAACTACAACTTCTTGTTCTTTCATTTCTTTTTTTCTAAGCTCTGTGGTATAGAGTAAAGTGTCATCGCATTCTGCTCGATCAATTTCTTTTGGTTTCTAAAAAAGTGTGATTCAGTGATATTAGAACTTAAAATGTCGCTTATACAAGGCACCAACTATCTGGAATCTGATATTCGAAATTTCACAGCTGGAATCCCGAAACTTGCAATGCAATTTTGTCGATCACTTGGATTCCTGATATTAATATCGAAAATTTTCTAGAGCTTAACTATTAATCATTCTGCGCTTAATAGCCGTGTATTATATTTCCTGGAGCTTTTTTCAAATATCACATTTTCACCTCTTACCTGTAACCATGTAAATCATATGATGTCACCTCAATGATTTCGACATTTTTTCCTTTTTCCACTTCTTCATCAGTCTTTTTTTCTTCCTGACTTTCTGGAGTCTCATTCAAAATTTTCCATTGTTCCATTTCCATTTTTGATAATTTTCGGTGAAGCCTAACTGAAAACCGAAAGCTGTCCTTTTAAATTATTCTATTCGTTATGTATTTCTTTAAACATGCGAGAAATTCTAAATTGCTGGATGTTTGTTTCAAGAAAAAAGGAAGGAGTGATCGATGTTTTTGTTACATGTGCTAATTCGATAGCTTATTACCAGGGCAGAGGTCTTTTTTCTGCTCCTAATATTTGAAACTCTCTTAGATTATTACCAATAAAGCTTCTTTTGTTGTCTTACTTCTGTCCTCCGCTTCTTTTTGAAATTTCTTTTTTGGTTGCAATTTTAAAACTAAAAGGAAACTTTGTGTGTAGAAATTGGAGATAAACTCAAGCTACGAAATTCAACTGTAGTATTAGCTAATTATATTGCCTGTATTTTCAGTATCTCTTAATTTTTTTGTTTTTTTGAAATTTCAGTAAATCGTTCACAATATGTTTTAGGATACTACAGTTTGCAACTTTTGTTGGATCCCTTGTCTCACGTACTACATCTTATATGATCCTCATATATTATTATAACTTGATGCACTCTCATCGTTAATCATTTAACTATAAAGCACAGATAAAATTTTCCAATTTCAGAAGACCTTCTGATTGCTCGGTTTGTTTTCTTATTATTTTAGATCCTTTTTGCTTCTTCTCTTTCACTTTTTCTGTTTTCCGCTTTTTCTTTGCTTTTTTTAATTTCTGTGCCTCTTCATCTTCGGCAGCTAATTCATTATCTTCTTCCTCAGTTTTCTGGAAGCTATCAATTGATACATTGCCAGTAAAAAATTATCGTATACATTGATGGATTTATATTATACAGTAATAATTAATAATTCCATTATTTTAACAAAAAAGCGTAGTAAGTTAGACTAACAATACCTATAATATGAATAAATGTTATTAAATTTTAAGCTTAAAAAAAGAATAGTGTACAACATATTGCTTTATGATAAAATGATTTCTTCACGAGGAATATTATTTTTTATAAGACGAACTAGCAGACATATCTGCAGCTAAGTTGATTAATTAATGAAGTTAACTGATAATAATGATACAGAGTTGAATGAATTTAAAAAGACATTACTGTATCTTGGAATTAGCTATTGTGCTAAACTACATCACAGCTTCTGTCATATGTTATTTTTATGATCGTATCTTGTTTGTTATAAAATCCTTTTAATGTGTTTTTTTGAAATTAATAATTAACGTATGAACTGACATCCGGCTTCATCATTATGGATAGCTTTGAAGTGACATCCGGTTTCAACATGACGGGTAAGTACACGGAAGGAGTAGAAGCTGACACAGTAGGAGAGCATGACGTGGTTGAAGTGCTCGGTGTAGTTGCTGCACTCGTTCCTTCTGATGTCGTTGCTATTGTTGTTTTGGTCTCAGTTTTGGTTGGTTCCAAACCTTGCTTCCACTTTAATTTAGTGCGTATTCTACTATGCGCCGGTTTTCGTTTTACCTCGATTTCTTCAAATTCGGTCTTATCACTTTCGTTGTCCTGCTTCGTTTGTTTTCTTTAAGGAAGCGAATTAAGTACACTAATTAAATAACCATCTTAATTTATCTACATTTATTCACACTATAGTTTAACAAGTAACAATTTTTAAGAGTGAAGTTAGATAGGATTATTATGAAATTTTTGCAAATTGTTTAAGGTTTATCAAAAAAAGTTAATTATATTTCCACTTTTTTTGCGTGAGAGATTCTTCTCAACTAAAAAAAACAGCAGAAACAATATGGTGATGAATGCAACATTTTGGACTAATTCAAAATAAAAATTTCAGTTAATCCTTTCTTAATTACTTCCAGAAAAAAGATGGATGCAATAAATGTAATTCTACCCCGCACTCACCTTTGGCGTGTTCTTCGCCCACTTCCTCGTTTAATTTGATCTCTAAAAAGAAAAAACGAATTTATAAGTAGAACATTTGATTTTCAATCTTTTTGATGTTGGTATAAAAATTTTTCTCCACCGACCTTTCCCTACCTCTGCAAAAAACATCAGTGTATAAATATACAGATGAATGCTTTATCATTGCATGAATTATTTCATGAACAGCAAGGTTGCTAACAATTTGCAACTTGTACTGTAGTGAAAAAAAGAAATCCAAA